GAGAGAAAAAAAGGTCAGGGGGGGGGGGGGCAGAGCCTGTGAACAACGAAGCTGGCTTACTTGAAAGGAGCTTCTGCAACCGCTTTGGTTGTCATGGTGATGTGATCGGAGAAGTCCTTCCAGGTCGACAAGAATCGGACCGAGACGCCTGTGTGAAGCTGGAGATGCACCACTGCCTGATGGGAAATCAAGAGGACAGAAGGAGGCGATTCAAATCAAAACAACGCACACACAGAGGGGAGGGCCAACGGCGCCTCGGAGCCGTACCGGGCCTTGGGTCGATCCTTAAATGAATGAAAAATAACGACACTAACACAAACCCACCTCCTCTAATTCCACTCGCGAAACTTCAGGAAGAACCTCGGCTGCACCGTTCTTCCTCCTCTTCTTTGCCTTTCCTCCCCCCTGCTCCTCGCCCGCCACCGCCTCTCGAAACCTCTTCTGGCTCTGTGACTTGTTGGATCTGAGGACACAGAAGTTGATTCTCTCAGCGCCCCTTTGCTCTCCGTGTCGTCCTCTTCGCACATATTTTAACACCGACTGAGTTAATGAGTCAGTGAGCGCTTTACTTCACACCGTTGAACACAGTCACCTCCTTCTCTACTGTCAGACGGCAGGAAACCAGAGATTCAGCGCCTGGTTTAATGTTTTTTTCTTTCCTCCTCGCCCATGATGTACTCGTCCTCAGAGCTACTAGCATCTCCAGTTAGAGTAAGAAATCTAAAATGCTGAAATTGTTGCTCCAATATGGATGATTTTCAGATGTTGCATCACCAGTTTTACTAGTCTATGATGTCCGGATTCACTCAGTCATGTTGATCTCAAAGAGTGTTTGTTCCTATCGATTGGCTTTTATACAGTTAATTACTTCCTGCAGCTATAAATTGAGTATCCTTGGATTTAAATATCAAACAGTTTTGTATTCAGATGTCGCCTTTGCCTACCTGAAGTATTTCTCCAGGTCGATGACCACCAGGCTGAGGATTTTGTCCGGATGACGTCTCTGTTGCTCCTGGACCCAGGAGCTCAGAGAGGGTCCGGAGTCAGACCTGCCCTGCCTCTCCTCCTGAAGGGAGAACACACAGGTGCACCTTTCATGTATACAGTCTACGTTTGAAACCTTTTAGACACGAAAAGCCAGTTTCCACCAAGCGGTGGTGCCCAAATAGACCCCTCCTCGAGGGAGACAGCTCTCTCCAACGTGTTGAATTTGGACTGCAGTAACCCATTTTAAACACTGGGTGTCAGAGTTACATATTGCTCCTTTAAGCTGTCGTGTCTGTCGCTATGCTGGACATGAACCAACTGACCTGGATGTAGTTGTGGATCAGAGTTATGAAGTCGTCAACGGTCATCTGCATCACAACATGAGCCTCAGGTTCACACACACCATCCTCAGTCTGACACACAGAGAGAGAACAGAGCCGTTATCAAAGACACTAAAAACACATCAACGCTGCTTTAAAAAAACAGCTTACACTTCAAGGACTGGGGGATCATTTTATTTTGAATATCCTCTAGGCTGGATTTATGCAATGGGATAGCAAGTGTGTGTGTGTGTGTGTGTGTGTGTGTGTGTGTGTGTAATCACCTGAGCACAGGGAGTCCTCCTCATCCAGCTGACACTGCGCGGAAGCGGCTGTTTCTCGATGGCGCAGCTGCAGCCCAGAGCCTGCACCGACGCCAGCAGAGTCCCGCCTCCTTCGAGCTGAAGGAGAGCTGCGGACAAAACGACAACAACAAAACCCTCACACATGCGTACAGATTTTACAAGCGCTGTTAAATGTCTGATTTCAAAGTGTTTTCTGACACGTATCTTCCATGTGTCGTCTCTACCTGGGTCCACAGCCACCACCATGTGCTTGATGCACTCCTCCGGCCTCAGCGCTTTGGCCGCCTCCGCCAGTGCTCTCCTCTCTGCTTTCTGCCTCTCCTGTTCCTGCCTGAGTGCGCCCTTGTCTTTCTGCTGCCCCTCCCTGGCCTGCCTCCTCCTCCTCAGGGCCTCCTCTCTCGAGGCCTGCATCTCCTCGGCCGAACGTTTGGCGGGCTTCCTCTTGGCGGGGGAGGTCTCGGTGCAGGAGAGAGGCTCGGGAGGAAGAGCCGCCGAGTCCTCCGAGCCATCCGACGACCTGTTTGTCGTTGTTCTCAGCTGATGGACGCTGGACAGATTGGACATGAAACACGGCTCAGCATATTTCCCATTAGCAGCCGCGGAGGAGGTGGTAATCACATTGTCCTGTTTCTGTTTGAGTCTCTGTGCCAGCGGGACATAAGGTGCGCCGTCATCAGAATCGCTGCTGATCATCAACACGTCCGCCGTTCTTTTACCCACACTGCCCTTCACAGCGGTGAACTTGGCTGCTTCGGGTTTCTCCGTGTGGCTCTGGGAGACTTGGCTGAGGAAGTCGAACACAGGCAGCTCCTCGTCCAGGTCACTGGTGGAGTCACTGTAGCTGCCCATGTCATTTCATGTCCAGCTGAAAATGACTGTTAACGAGAAATTAAAAAAAAGAATTCATAACAATTCATACAATCTCTGTCGTGGATATGAACAGGAGTTTAAGCATTGGCAACACTAACCAAATGTTGTATTCAAAATTCAAACATTCATGGACAGAGCTGGGGGTGGGATAAGACACGCCCACTCACTCCATCATGCTGTTACCATCACATCAAACAGTCTGTGAGACAAACAAACACGCGCAAACAAACTGATAAGCAAGTTTAGCTTGGCTATTTAGCCATGAGAGACGACTCAGCCAGTGATGAAATCTTTGCAACAGAAATGCGGTACGAGGTCAAGGACTCCTCTCCTCCAGAGTCTCCACGTGCGGTCCAGAGAGAGCAGATATGTCGAGGACATGGAGGCGAAGGAGTGGATGGGAGGCTGTCTCTGATTGGTAGACGTTGCCCCCTAGATGTTATGGCTGTAACACAGCCCTGTTTTTGCACTTTGCAATCGGCATGCGTCATGGCAAGCCATTTAGATTTCAGTTATAAGCGATCCGCGCAATTCTCTCAATCCACTTGACTCAACGCGGTTTGCTGAGTCTGGTGTTGTAGTTTTTCAAGGGTTTGGTGATGAAATCTGACACTTCATAACCTTGATCCAGCTCACTTTCATCCCGGTTGTTAAGAAAAAATGAAGAAAAACTGGACAGGCTCGAAATCTGGATTACTAGTGCTTTACATGGAAAAGCAGGGGGCACAAAGATCCTCATAGGCCTTTTTAATTCATCATGTTATATTTAATATTTATAACTATTTGGTGGAATACTTAATTTGCAATTAAATCCTTTATTTATTACGAAACCATGTCTGTGTTTCATGTTTTTTTACTTCTTTTCTTGACTTTAGCACACATCACAGTTTGTTTTATATTTTATGTCTTTATGATTTTAACACATAAATCATTTTCTTCTGGTACCAGACTGCGAACCAAACTCTGTTCATAAATCTGCCGTATTTGGATTTATATGCATGTTATCAATAAAACTACTACCTGACAGATCATAATGCAAAAGGCACTCAAAGGAAAGGTGTTTTAACAAATTCGGCGTCATCATAAAAAAGCTAACATTCATTATTTCAGGCAATTGCGCAAAACTCCGTTAACAAACCTGCCATAATTTGATTTCTATTCGTTTTTATCACATTAAATATTGAAGATGTGATAATAAACTATGTGGCACACAAACAGTAAGTGTTTTAAACAATTCGGCGAATAGATAACAAAGAAAACTTTTCTTATTTTAGTATAATCTTGGATCTTTTAGTTGGTGCAAACCGCTGAAAACAGGCTGTTGTCAAAAGTAGCTAACGTCACGCTAGCTTAAGGAGGCTTTACTCACTTTAAATAACATATTTGTTCACATACATAAGTTAACTATAAGTAAGATATGATGTTTGTTACTTAATAATAAGATCAACATACCAAAGGTGAAGTTTTGTGCGTTACATGAGAGCTCGTTTGATTTCCCCGGGTTGGAGGTTTTTCTTCTTCGGTGGTGTTTGTTGGCCGCTAACAACCTGGTCGAAAGCGTTGTTACCGCCACCTAGTGGACTGGAGGGGGAAACAACAAAAACAAAGAAGACAAGACTGCATGAGTTGGGCTCCTAACTTTTGTTATTCCTTCAGCAACGACAGGAACTATTTTAGTTCCAATAACCCCGTTTAGAGGAACCTTTTTAGTTCCTGCTTCAGAGTAGGTAATCTCCCAGCACCATGGCAGAAAAAACAGTTCCCATGGTGTGAACTAGTGGATAGTTCCTCTTAGAAAAGTCTGCAGAACTGTTTGATCAGACAACACTTTAATTTTGCTCTTTCTGTTCAAGATAAGGAATTTATGTAAGTTTTATGTATTATTAAGTTCAATAACTTGATCATGTAAAAACACAACATAAGACATCAGACACTTTATTGTCATTGTATGCAATATACAACAACATTTTGTTGGTGACAAACAGCCCAGCAGCAATATAGGAGTTAAAGAATATAAAATATACAGCTCGGGGAAAGAAGCAGTTCCTCAGTCTGTTAGTAAGGCAGGTTTTGGAGATAGGGGGACAAACAGACTGTGTCCTGGGTGTGTTGTCTACTTGCTGATGTTGGTTGCTCTCCTTTGTATACCTAATTATTGTTTTTTATTCTCATCTAAAATCAATTAAATCAAAATGCACACCTTTATTTTATTTTATTTTGTCTAGTTTTGCTGTGTTTTATTTTATTTTTTGTTTCATTTCGTTTAAATTATTTGAATTTAGATTTATTTCTTTGTTTTCTTTGTTTAATTATATTTTATTTTATTTTACTTGCTTTATTTTGTTTAAGTTCATTTAATGGTATTTTATTTAATCTTATTTTATGTAGTTTTATTTGTTATATTGTATTTTATTTTACTTTATTTTATTTACAGAGAAGTAGTACCCATTAAGATATTATGATTCACCCTCCGTACCACTAGGCGGCGGTATACGCCGTTTTCCAACCTCCAGAAAACACCAAGAAGAAGCTACACGTAACTTTACGTAAGTGACGTCATTCAAGATGGCAGCGCTGGCGTCCTTGATGCTCAGGTCCAGAGCAGGTAACATATTTCTTCAATAAAACACGTTTGAGATAATCTCTTTTGATTGTGAAACATTTATGTGTTCATGTTAATTTTTAATTGAGAGTCTGAGAAGTTTCAGGAAACATGAAGTGCGTTAAAGAGGAGTTTATAGTTCATGCTAACTGTCGTGCCCCTGATTGATTTTGGTGATGTTTTAAAAACATGCATGCAGCTTCTCAGTGCCTTAAATCTTTAGATACTCTTCATCAAGGTTGTGAACACATCTCAAGAGCCTGACTCATCACTTCGTATTCATGTGCTGGAAGCTTCAGTCTTCCCGCTGCCAGACTCACTAAACCTTTTCTTCTTATCCCCAAAGTGCGTCTTGAAACGGGGAAAAGGAGTTTCTCCTGCAGAAGGATCTGTCTGTGGGGGGTCCTGGTCTCTTTTAGAGTAGATTCAAGGTGTTGGAGGACAATGCTTTAGGTTGTACAGGCTTTGAATTCGAGATGCACCGATCCACTTTCACTCAGTTCCAGTCTGATTCCGATTGCAATATTTTTAAAATCATAATAAAGCCTATTTTTAATTGCATCGCAAGGTATCGTAAACATCGCTGGTGACGGCAGTACTCGAGTATGAGTGACTGGACTATAATCAAGCTGAATGTGAGTGATACTAAACCTGACTTTCTCTGCTCTTCAGGTTTGCTGTCACCTGGTCGCTCGGCTCTCCTGGACTCTGTGAGGTTTGCGTCGAAGAAGTCTGGAGGGAGCAGCAAGAACGTCGGAGGAAAGAGCGCCGGCAGGAGATATGGCTTCAAGAAACAGGACGGTAAATGCTTCAGATATTTGAGAGGCCCCTTCGTGTCATCTTAATGTCTGAACTGCAGGAGATGTTGGTGTCCGAGGAGCTCTGAGGTGTCATGTGGATACGAATAGGGTGGGGGGGGGGGGCAGGTTTTCAGTAGAAGGGTCCAGCAGGGCGATATGTTTCCAATCATGAAGAGCCCAAGAAAAGAAGGCCTCTCTGTCAGAGTAAAGTTTAAGATAGTCAGCAGCTTTCTCCTTCAAAATAAAATACAGACTTCTCCTAAAGTAAAGCTGCTCCATCGTCCCTTCTGGGTCTCCATACATGTGTGGTGGTGACTGTGTCTGCAGAGACTCTGTCCTCTCACTGGATTTTACTGTTCTGCTTTGTTCTGGTTGACTCAGCACGTTTCTGGGCAGAGCTGGTGTGTTTTCTCCAGCCAATGACAGCGCAGCAGGTGAGTTTAGGAGTGAATACAATTCAGTGATTGGACGAGATTCAAACCAGAGAATATGAGGGACGTGGACGTAGCAGCAAAGAAGAGAAAATACAATCACAGTGAGGAGAAACTCCAAGCGGATAAAGCTCGTTCTAAAACGAGGGTGAACCTTGTGTTGTCTTTTACCGTGGACGTGGAGTTGGTCTGCTTCCTGTTGGACAGGCAGGTGACAAACACCGGTGGTTAGCTTGTGCTAGCGTGAGTTAGCTTGCAGTGTAGCTACAAGCAGTAAACGTACACACAACGTCCTGCAGTGAGGGTGAGCTTCTGGGGGGCGATGAGCCCAGGAGGAGGGGCCCAGTTTGAATGTTTCTTGATTCCCTGTCAGCCTTGATGTCATCTTGTCATCGTTTTGATTTAGGGTCCCCTGCTGGTGGAGATTACATCCTGTGCATTAAAAAAAAAAAAGTACACATGGTTCTAAATTAAAGCCATGAGATGACCTGCGCCTGATCAATCAGCTAACGTCTGTTTCCTTTTGTTTACCAGGAAACTTCGTCCATGCAGGAAACATCCTGGCTACTCAGAGGCTGATGAGGTATCAGCCGGGCGCTCATGTAAGTTCTTCCTTTCTGTTTCTGAAAGTGTCGATCTGATGCAGTCAACACCCAACACGTCCTGATCCTGATCCTGAATCTCGTCCTCCCTCTCCTCAGGTGGGGATGGGGACCAATAAGACGCTGTACGCTCTGGAGGACGGTTACGTCCGGTTCACAAAGGAGGTCTACATCCCGGCACCACGCAGCCCCGAGTCCACGCAGATCATCACCAAGCTGCCCAAAGGAGCCGTGCTCTACAAGACCTTCATCAACGTCCTGCCGGTCAAACAGGAGGGCAAGTTCAAACTGGTGGACATGGTGTAAACCTGACCGGACTCGTTATCCTCCCACGTGTTCCAGAAGTGGGCGGGATCAGGAAGAATTCTCTTTGACTGACAGCTGGGGGACACACTTTGATTTGGAGTGTTTTCTCTTAGAGGTTACTTTTCAGCCATTACAGATCGTTTCACTTTTGCCACCTGAAGAAAATCAACTGGACTTTTTTGTCGTTTATTTATACGTGGAATGAAATCCCCGAGCTTTCCTTTAAATGGTCGTCACGGTCAGAGACGAGGTGAGAAGTGTGTCTGCTCGTACATCCTTAAAGAACAGACGTAACGAGAATATGTGCTGTACGTTCTGTATTAAAGTTTTATACATAAAAATCTGAAGAAAGTGGCGGACATCTTTTTATTTACTTCTCACTTAAAAGGCAGGGTGGGTCATTTATTGAAAACTAGCATGATTTTGAAAGTAGCATTCCCTCAGTGCTCCGTCTGCATCCACCCCCTCCCCTCTGTGCTCCCACTAAAGCCACGCCCCTCACTTACATGCTCGAGCACCATTGGTCCAGAAGCGGACCTCAGCTCATGCTTTGAGTGTGGGCTAGAGCACGAGCAAGGAGACAGGGAGGCGTGTGATTGGTTCATCAGATTGGTACCTCGTGGCAGACATTAGTTGAAGTTTTTACAGGATTACAACTGATACAGATGACGGATTTTCTTTGTTCCTTTTTCAGAGCACATGAGTTATTCATTTCTGTCAGGACCTAAAGACAATTTCAACCAACATCTTAAAAAGTGTAAGTTAAATCTAAAACAACCTTCTGAAACAGTAACATTCTCTCTTCCCTGTGTCATCTTGGGGTTAAGTGTCTTGCCCAAGGACACATCGGACATGTGGCTGCAGGAGCTGGGGATCAAACCTCACCCTTCCAGTTGAGATGACCGACTCTACCAACTGAGCCACAGCCCTCCTAGCACTTTTGTGATGGTACTAAGTGCTTTACAAGAATTAAACATAGCACATAAAACAGATTAAATGAATAAAAACAGTGAAGTCGCTGAGTCAAGATTGGATAGTCAATAAACTTGAGTGATAGAGGCCCCTCAGAGTTGAGATACCCCTACCCCGAGTTAGCACAAAGCAATTTAAACTAGAAAGCACTAACAGTTAGTTGTATAACAATATTTTACCATTAAATGACTTTCTTTGGTTGTTTTTTTGCATCTCAAACTGAAAAATAGTGAAAATTAAGGCTCTTCCAAAAAGGTACAGCTCCTGATTTATCACACGTGTCTCTGAAAATCAAAAACAGAACTTCACCGAATTAGGTCTAGAAGTTCACATGCAGATCTTAATTACAATTAAGCACAATTTCAATCAATACCACTTGACATTTTGGAAATATGCGCACTTAAACACACATGGAGTTCAGGCGAAAATTGAAAGTTAAAACAAAACTTCATAAGCTCCGTATATCAAAGTTTCTCATCCTTAAAGTAAGAACACCCATCGTCAAAATTAGTCACGTTTATGTTCTTAAGACGGTTGTGACATCAGAAGAAGCTCTCCCAGAAAAGTTTGTTTTTAAGTAGATAGATTTGAGAAGTGCAGTACATAAAAGTGACCACCGGATGGTGTAAAATGTCTGCTGCAGGAACAGAAAGAGAAGAAACCACAAACACAGCCGCACGAAAGTATGATGTTTTATATCATGGTCATTCCAGCTTTGGAGACGATATCTCACTTTGTGTGTCATGGCTGCCTCTTTGTTGGTACCTCAGCCCAGACCTTCAACACACCTGCTCACCTCATTACAGAATATCTACCTTCCCACATATCCTTTCCTGTGGGCTTTTTTAAGCCTTCACTTTAGAGACAAGAGGGTGGATAGAGTCAGGCATCGGGGAGAGAGAGAGAGCGGGGAACAACATGAGGGAAGGGAGCCACAGAGCGGATTCGAACCAGGGCGGCCACTTGGAGGACTAGAGCATCCATACATGGGACATGCGCACTAGTATTGTAGTCAAGACCACACTTACCAAGATATTTAGGGGTCAAGACTGAGACCATAAATATCAATGGAATCATTCTCTCCCACTAATGTGAAGCAGGCGTGTCCCTCACTACTGACGTCCCCCTTAATGTAATTCTAATCCAATTTCAGCCATCAGATTGAATACACGTGCAGTGGTTAGCGGTGTTGCCTCACAGTGAGGAGGTTCCTGGTTTGAATCCCCGTCTGACAGGAGCCTCTCTTTGTGGAGTTTGCATGTTCTCCCTGTGCATGCGTGGGTTCCCTCAAGGTACTCCGGCTTCCTCCCACAGTCCAAAGACATGCTCGTTAGGTTAACTGGTGATTCTAAATTGCCCGTAGGTGTGAATGTGAGTGTGGCTGGTTGTCTCTCTCTGTATGTCAGCCTTGTGATTGGCTGGTGAACAGTCCAGGGTGTAACCCCGCCTCTCGCCAGATGACAGCTTGGATCGGCTCCAGCCCCCCATGACCCCAGACGGGAAAAGCAGTGTAGATAATGGATGAATGGCTGGATACATTCCTAAAAACTGGTAGTCAAAAGTATGAAAAAGGATCCCTCGTTCCAGTTTCTGATTTTGAGAGTGCAATCCCAAAATCTGACCACAAGATGTCACACACTCATTGATTTACTGTACTGGCTCCTGATCCGCACCATAAAAATACTCAAACTGCACTTTTATGTTGCTTCTTATGCAAAGATGAAATCTGAAGTTTATGATCCACCAGTCCCTTGATTGATAATCTCCCTTAATCATGACTTCACATGAACTTCCCCCCTTGTACAAGCGTATCAGTGAAAGGAACATCTGCATACCGGAGAGAGTGCAGCGGTGGTATGCGGAGGGAGTGAGGGTGACGCCTGGTACTCTGAACGGGAGGGCGAGTATGAAGCAGAACTGATGATTGATGTGAGGAGTTAGAAGAGACGTGTTGGAGAATGAATCTCTGCTCATGGGTCACTGTGATCTCCACGCCTGACGGATTATAAACTGTGTTTATTAAGCATCTCGGTATGTCTTACACTGAACATGTTCTCCACCTTTAAGAAAAAGATCAGTTACTGAATAACCACTTTCTGTTGACAGTCCAGGTTGGTATCAGTTCAGGTGAAACTCAATAGACGCACAAGTACTTTTTATTTTTTTTACAGTGCAAGCTTGCCTTGAGATTTTGATCAGAGTTAAAGAATAACCCCGCTGTCGTACTTTAACTCTCAAACTCAGAGCGAAAGTCGTTAGCAATGAGTTACTGTTTAAGCAGAGCACGGTCTGATACCGAAGTAACTTCCTTAAGACACAGCTTTTGCAATTTGTAATAGTAGAGGCACAATACTTTGTACAGACATTCATGGTCCCCAGATAATTAAAGGAAGAATGTGTGACTTGTTGCATATAAATACATCAGTTTAAGTCTATCCTATGTAAATGAGCTCTCTGAGTCATGACTGTCTACAACGAGTGAGAAGCTCGAGTCCTGCTGACTGTGTTGTTGTCAGAGCCGTGTTTACATGGACGGGACGGCCGGCTCCTCCCCTTGTGTATAAAAGCTGTTTTAGTCAAGAACTAGAGAGAAGAAGAAGAACATACTCACTGATTATTTGGATGTTAGTAAGAGTTTTTAAATCACGGTCATTCTGTGTCAGTTTACATGCAATGTGAAGCTACGAGCTAACTAAAGAGCGCTAACATTAGCATGCTAACACAATGCAGCTCGTGCAAAGGACAATTTTGTCCACCACCTACCTTTAATGGTGCTTGATTATGGTGCGTTGTAATTGATAACACCTTTGTGTGAAGTATGGAGGAGGTGTGACCAAACAGTAGTTCATGCGGGTGCTCAAGGGCGACATCTACTGGAAAAGTCGCACATGCTTCCTTTAAACCTGCAAACTTTTACAAGAAACACTCCTTTTGGACTCCCTTATTATGCCTAGGTAATAGGAGAGACAAAATCATTTGATTTGGTCTTTACATTTTATAAACTATTGAAGAAATTTTATTTGAAGAAACTTTCTTGGTCCTCAGAGGATAAAGCCCACCAATCTTTGACATCACCTCCCTTTCTTTCTCTTGGGACACCAAGATACTGATACTGACGGATTTAAAGTGAAATCTTAACAGTGATTAGATGGATACCCATCACAAAGTGCAGATATTCATGGTCCCCAGAGGATGAATCCTGCATACTTTAATGAGAAACACAACTTTTGCACTCTCTAAATGTGTCAAGAAACGGCATATAAAAAAAGATCTAAAAAGTATTGAAGTATTTTTCAGTGCACATTCATGATCCCCAGAGGATAAATCCTGTTGTGTTCTGAAAGCTTATCCTTCTCAGACCAGTAGGTGGCACAATGGGACTGTTGTTACTCTAGAGAATACAGAAAGTAGAGACAGTGTTTTGTGAAGAATGTACACCGACAGTGAAGAAAGTTACAACGTAATCCTCTGTCCAGTGAGTCTTTACTACAAATATAACAAATCCTAAATATTTAGATTTTTCCTGAGCTTATAAACTACAAGCACCAGTATGTAAAAAACGTTATACCCATCCAGTGAAAAATCCTCACGATGTAGTCGCATGATACTTTCTACAGATATGCATGGTCCCCAGATGATGTTCTAACCCAAATATAAAAGACAACCAAACTTTAAAGTTTGATCTCTGCTGATAAAAATCTTCCAGCAATTTGGTCCAGACTAAAATATCTAAAACTTTTTTAATAAATTGTCGTAAAAGATCCAAATGACATTCAGGTTTCTCAGAGGATAAAGCTTACTGACATTTCATATTGCCTCGCTTTTTGTGGTTTCAAGTTGCAGTAATTGATTATTGATTATTATTTTGTTTAGTCCCCTGACCTATTTATTATTACCAACATCAGGTCAAAGTTTAACCCATCCAGTGACAAAAAACTTGAAAGTTTAGTCTTCGCTGAAAAATTTAATAGGTCACATATCATCCTCCTCTTCAACCAGTGTAATTAAGTCTCAGAGCTCTCCAAAACATGTCTGTGAAGCTTCTTGTTCTAAATCCAATCTGATCCTGTATTTGATCATGCCTATAAACCCCTCTATTTCAACCCTGCTCAGAACAGGCTGTTTCTGTGTTTGTACCTTTAAATGTAAATGAGCTGTGTCTGACCACACCCCCTCTCTGGAAGGGCTTGGGTGTCTTGGTCTTTCTCGCTCCATGTCCTATTGTTTACGATGAGAAGGCAGACTCAGAGGGCAGAGCAAACACTTAGCTGTGGGAGTGTCACCCTCCTGGGGGAGGGGTTACTGCCCTTTGTGATGTCATGAAGGGACAATCTCCAAACGGCCTGTTTGAGCACATTTTCTGAAAAGTGAAGCAGGCA